AGAAAAGAAACAACCCAGTCCTCCACTCACAGGCTCAGCCACCTAGGCAACCCTTCCTGGACCTCTTACTCATGAACTCTTTACCCTGCCAAGCATCCTCTTTGTGGCTTCCTAATATCCTGCCTATACCAACACCTGGTGCACAAACAACCCATTCTGCCCCTCCCCATATCCTGACTATATAAGCTAGCCTGAGAAAAGTAAAGTTTGCCACTTGATCAGAATCCTGTCTTGTGGACGTTCTTTCTGCGCCTCTTGTCCCCGTTCCCTATCCCTGACTCTCTTGCCCCAGGTTGATGTTCTGCAGTTCAGGACATTTGAAGACTAGATAGTTAGTAGTTACCGTTTTCCTTAATTATCATACAAAGTAAATTAGGTACAAAACTCTGGACTCACCAGGCAAGGATAAAAAATGGAGTATTTTCTCTGAATTTGTCAAATACAAATGGACTGGACATTGTGAATATATAAGTATGATGAGGAAATAGGTTATTAACTTGTGACGTGAGCCTGTAGGTTAGAGATATCTTTATTCAAATAATACCAGCCAAGCGCAAGGTAGAGCGTGCCCAGAGGCAGCAAGCTAGGGAGGCCAGAGAGAGAGCTCACACATGTCTCCTGCACCTTAAGAACCCCCCCTACGAGTCATCCTAAACATCCCCTGACCACGCCCTGACAGGCGTGGTTAAGCACACCTGTAGCCAGCCCTTAGGAGGTGTGATTACAGTGTCTCCCTACATTAACTGGTAATTTATTGGGAAATATATACTCACATGAGGAATCAGTAACCAGATTTGACACTATGAGAAATCCAGTACTTTCTGCTTCCCAAAACTGGCTGAACAGAGAGAGAGAGAGAGAGAAAGAGAGAGAGCGAGCGCCTGGCTCCTCCTCACCCTTTATCCTATACCCTTCTATGTACCTGTGACCATGCCCATTTGGGAGTGGTCTCTCCCTACATAATTCCTTTTTAAGGATTTATTTATTTATTTATTATGCATATAGTATTCTGCCTTCATGTATACCTGCAGGCCAAAAGAGAGCACCAGATCTCACTATAGATGGTTGTGAGCCACCATGTGGTTGCTGGGAATTGAACTCAGGATCTCTGGAAGAGCAGCCAGTGCTCTTAATGGCTCAGTCATCTCTCCAGCCTGTGAATGAAATTCTTACCTGATAATTGTTCCTATTGTACATAGTTTTACTATGTTAATGTTAAAACTTTCCTTTTTTATTTAGACAAAAGGGGGAAATGTGGGAGATTTGTTTTTGTTGTTGCTCTGAGCCAGGCAGTGGTATCAGGCCTTGGTTCAGAGAACAGTGTCCACATTCATTTAGCCGGAGTGGACCATTGATAGGGAGGTCCTTCTGTGTATATGTTTGTCTTATTGGTTGATAAATAAAGTACTGTTGGCCAATAGGAAAGCAAGATAGGTGGGACTAGGAGTCAAGGAGGATTCTGGGAAATGTAGTAAAGAGGTCCAGTCAGGAAGTGACATAGCAGGCTGACTCAGAATATAAGCAGAGACAAGAAGGAAACTGTCCTCTTGCTCTTCCTCTTCCATCTGCTCTCTTCTCTATGGAACTGCCATGTGATCCCGGGAAGAGGATGCCAGTGGAAGGCGTCCTTGATAAGATAAGTCTTATAAAATATATAGATTTATGATAATTAAGACTGAGCTAGCATATAAGAAATCCTAGTCAATTGGCCAGCAGCATTGTAAACTAATATAAGATTCTGTGTGTTATTCTGGGTGCCCACATGGCAGCGGGGCCCAGGCAGATGGAGTAAAGACTTATTGTTACAGACCATAGTGTTTTCTGACCGACTCAGAGGAGATAGATGGACACACAAGAAAGAGGAAAAAGGAAGGGGCCCTTTTGAGAAGGGAAACATGGTAGAGGTCACTGACTGTTACTCCCAACTATGTTTATTAATAAAGTAGTAGAAGAAGCTGCTTTAAATAATGATAATAATAGTGTGTGTGTAAGTGGTGTGTGTAAGTGGTATGTGTGTGTGTGTATGTGTGTGTGGTATGTATGTGTGTCTCGGTGTGTGTGTGTGTGTGTGTGTGTATGTGTGTGTGTGTGGTATGTATGTGTGTCTCGGTGTGTGTGTGTGTGTGTGTGTGTGCTCTGTGTGTGTAACTCAGGGCATCAGCCTTGGCAGCAAGCACCTTCAACTCTCTGAGCATTTAACCAGCTCAAACTCACCATATATTCAACACATCTTCAGCTACAAGTTCACTAGGCCTTGACCCTGCAGCAGTTGTGGTGGAATCTCCTGACTAGAACTAGACTGACTTGCCAACCTTTCCTCATAGTGAATGGCTGCCCTTGCCACCCAAAGAGAATCTGCAGACACCCAGCCTTCACAGCCACCTTCCTTCTGGCAACAGCTGCACACCAGACTCTGCATTTCTGCCTCCTGCTTGAGAAGAGCGGTCACTCACAGAAGACAGCACCATTCATCCTGCTGGTCTCTCCTCCCCCAAGAACCACAAATCATCCTTCCCTCTGGACCCTGCCCGTCACCATCTAACCAGTCAGCAACATCTCCTAGACCAGGACTCCACATTCCTTCAGTTACAACCCTCCCCCTCCCTCTCACACAAAGCCTGGGGTGGGGCGTTGTCCTCAAGTCTCCTCACTTTCTCTGCTGACTTTGCTCGGGCCACACACCTCTCAGCCACCAGGACAGCTCCCACAAAGGCGCCACCTGACTGCTCTGCTAAGTACCATGTCAGTTTTCCATCCTGCTCCTCCTGAATCTGACCTGACACTACTGGTCATTCCCTTCTTCTTGCCAGGCTTGCCACCAGGGCTTCCAATGCCCAGCATTCTCCAGTGTCTCCCAACATTCTCCAGGGTCTCCCAGCATTCTCCAGGGTCTCCCAGAATTCTCCAGGGTCTCCCAGAATTCTCCAGGGGCTCATCTTGCCCCATACTGCCTCTCTCTTCTCCATCCACTCTGGTCTTTTCTCTTAATTTAGTCAAGATCTCAAGACCTAACCCTCGCTTCTGCCTCTGCTTGGAATGTTCCATGGCCTCTGAAGTCTCAAGTTCAGTATTCTTTCTTTTCTGCCTGATTCACCATCGTGGCCCCAAGCCCCTCCCCCTCTCTTGGCCTTCACCACACCCCAAGCCCCTCCCCCTCTCTTGGCCTTCACCACACCCCAAGCATCACAATATTGTTTACATTTAACAGCATCTGTCATTGCCCTGCTTGTTTGTACACTTGGTTAACAGGGACTGGTGTGTTCCACTCTATGTCCCAATGCCTGGTACAATACCCTGCCCATGGTAGATGCTCATTAAACATGTCAACACACAGATTAAAGAAGCACGACTGTCAGGAACAATACCCAGTGTCTGCCTGGTGATGTGACACCTCTAATCCCAGCACTCGAGAGGTGGAGGCAGGGGGATCCAAAGCTTGGGAGGAGCGTGGGCTATGTAATGAGACTGAAAAAAAAAAAAAAGCTGAGCTGGAGAAATTGCTCAGTGGTTAAGAGCACTTTTGCAGAGGATAGGGGTGGGGGGTCCCAGGACCCATATGGTGACTCAAAACCGTCTGTAATTCCAGTTCCAGGGACTCCAACTCCCTCTCTGGCCTCCACCAGCATGTACGCATGTGGTTCACAGACATGCACAGTGCAGGCAGACACTCATATACGTAAAATAAAAACAAATAAATACATCTTTTTGGATGTTTACTTCCTACTGGCAAACTGTTGGATCACTATTAACAAGGCATACACCCAGTTTGTTCTCTCTCTCTCTCTCTCTCTCTCTCTCTCTCTCTCTCTCTCTCTCTCTCTCTCTCTGTCTTCCTTGTACCAGTTTCCACCACTTACTAGAGGTAACTTTTCGTTTGTTTTTTCAAGACAGGGTTTCTCTGTAGCTTTGGAGCCTGTCCTAAGCTCTTTAACTGTAACAGTAAAATTACGACTGAGCACAAGTCATCCAGAGCTAGGAGAGCCCTTAAAACAACTCACACATGCACACAAATAACATAATAGAAAATTTTTCAGAAAGAAGAACGGGTAATTTTACATAGAATTTACTCCCTTCTGGCAAATTCCGGCTCATCTTTTAAAACCCAGCCACAGTGCCATCTGCTAGTTTTTTCTAGCCAGTGAGTAAAATTTCTTGGGGGTCAAACTCGGGACTTGATTTATGGAAAAGGAGCAAAATGAGCAGCTTTCAGCGAGTTTAGGAAAACAGGAGTAGAAAAAGCTGAAAGCTAAGAACATTGACTAGGAAGGGAAGGCGCCTGGATACAGAGCATTGGATGAACAAGCCGGGTCAGAGGAACCCTTTGGTCCCAACCCCCACCCCAACCCACCCCTCTTTAAACATGCAAGTCTCACCCCATCACACGGAGACCAGCCCAGAGAACTCGGTAACTTGCCTGAGCACCACAACCAGCTAAGGAAGGTCTAGAACCCCCAAAGCGCACCCTCATCTCAGCCCTAGAATGTTATGGACCGTCTGCTCCTCTCCGGGGACCCACTGTTCCCTCTCAGGTCCGGACTCTGAGAGTTCCACTGGCTGAAGATCCAGGAGCCCGGTGTCCTCCACCTCTGCTCTACGCTCCAATCTCAGAGATCTAGTGGTGTCTGGGATCCTTACGGTGCTCTGCGCCGTGTTCTTCACACCGGGTGGAGAGGCGAGACTGCGAGACTGGACCTCACTCGCGGTCACCCAGAGGACATGGGGCGGAGAATTGCAAAGGGTGGGAGGGACTGTCCAGCCTAGCGACCTGACCTTCTAGGGCAAACACTCCCCGGCAGAGCCACAGCCGAAGGACTGTGAGAGAGGTGAGTGACCAGAGGCAGAGCTGCTCTCCAAGCAGTGCTCCTGACCCCATTGTCCCTGTTGAGGACAACATCATCCCAAAGCCACTAGCTAAGTCTTGTCCAGGAGTGCTAGGTAAGAGGGTGGTGGTCTGGGCCCCAGGAATCCCCTTCACTGTCCTGAGCTGTCCATCCACACCAATGTCCGGAGCAATTTTTGCGCCTCTGGAGGGCCTGGGTACCCTGGATGCTGCAAGTGGCCATCCCCTCGTGTGTCCACTGTGCCATGCGCAGTACGAGCGCCCGTGCCTGCTGGACTGCTTCCACGACTTCTGCGCTGGCTGCCTGCGCGGCCGGGCCACTGATGGCCGCCTGTCCTGTCCACTATGCCAGTAAGTGTCCCAGGCCTAGGCTGAGGAGGTGGGAACAGTCCCCTGTCATAAATGGAACTATCGGAACCACCTCAACCCCCTGTAGCTTAGACAGGTTAGCTGAGGCAGTTAGATGGTCATTACCACAAGCTTCCCAGAGTCGGGGTGCTACCGTGGGCTGGAGAAGAGGGGAGGGCCTTCTCCGCAATTCCTTCGGAAGGGGCGTGTCCCAGAAATCTTAGGTTACCACAATTACTAAATTAACTCAAAACGTTCCAGTGAAATGACAAGGTCCACTAGGGTGGTATCGCCTTTCCCATTGCAATGTAACAACAGGCTTACGCACACACTGGGCAGCGTAGGGCCCTCAGGACAGACTGGCTGCTGTATTTATAGCAGACCCCACCACCCCGATACTGCTAATTTTAGCTCCTGCCTGGAATGTGAAGGGTAGTGGGGAGAGCTTCCTGCAAGGGGCCTCCAGATCTTGGCTGCAGCCTCTCTGCAGGCACCAGACCCTGGTGAAGGGTCCCGGTGGGCTCCCGCCAGTGGACCGGCTGCTGCAGTTCCTGGTGGATAGCTCTGGGGATGGTGTGGAGGCTGTACACTGTGCCAACTGTGACCTGGAATGCAGCAAGCAGGTGAGGAAGTAGACGGCGGTGGGTACCAGATTGCAGCATGCCTAAATGTACAACCGTGATATATGTGAAGTCTCCAGCCACTCCCTGCAATCCCTAGGGCTCCAACCATGCCCTCATCATACACACAGCGGGGAGACCAAGGTCCAGAAAAAAAATGACTTGAGCCAATAACCAGATAGATAGTGGCAGAGGCTGAGGCCATTCCATTTAGGGAGAGCTAACTTTAGGGGCCCCAGGTCAGGTTGGAGTTGTGAGCTGTCATGGGAGTAGTGGCTCAGTTCACAGGCCTGGAGACCCTTGAGGACCCCCTGGGGAACCCTTGAGGACTCTCTGGGATCCCTGAGGACCTCCTGGAGATCCTTGAGGACCCTATGCTACTTAAGCACTTGTAAATAACTAAAGCCAATACTGTATGCAGCTGTAAGCCTCTGGCAAGAGAGCAGGGAGCCCAGAGCAAGGGCTCCCAGCCCTGAAGTAAAGGCGAGTAGAGGTCTGATGGGCCATGGCAGGAAGGAAGCTCAGGAGCACACAGCCTCCAGGCAGCGTGCTAAGCAAGAGCTGAGAAACCTTTACCCAGAAGTAAAGACAACAGGCAGGAGGGGAGAGAGCTGGGGGGGGAGCTTTGAAGAAATGGCCTTGACTGCTAATGTAAAGAGTAAGAGGCTTCAGGACTGGAGAAATGGCTCAGTGAGTGGTTAAAGAGCACTGGCTGTTCTTCCCGGGGACCCAGGTTCAATTCCCAGCACCCACGCAGCAGCTCACACTGTCTGCAACTCCAGTTCCTCACTCAGACATACGTGCAAGAAAAACACCAAAACACATTAAATGAAAATAATAATTTTAAAAAATAAGTGGGGTTTGGTGGATTAAAGCCATGGTTATGAACGCCACCGTGTGCTAATTATTGAGAGTGCCAAGGGGGCCTGATATGCTTGTGCCCTCTCCTCAAAGGCTTTACCGTGCGATTTCTGCCTGCTGTCTCTGGGAACTGCCTTCCTGAGGTTCCTTCCAGTGTCCTGTCCTTCCTACACCCACTACCTGCCCAGCCCTGCTGTTCTCATCTTTTTTATTTTATTTTATTTTATTTTGGGTTTGTTTTTTGTTTTGTTTGGTTTGGTTTGGTTTGGTTTTGGTTTTCCGAGACAGGGTTTCTCTGTGGCTTTGGAGGCTGTCCTGGAACTAGCTCTTATAGACCAGGCTGGTCTCGAACTCACAGAGATCCGCCTGCCTCTGCCTCCCAAGTGCTGGGATTAAAAGCGTGCACCAACCAACGCCCAGCCTTTTTAAAATTTTTAATGCATATGTGTGTTTCCCCTGGCTGCATGTGTATGTACCAAGTGGGTGCTTGGTATCCTCGGAAGCCAGAAGAGGGTTCTGGATTCTCTAGGACTGGAGTTACAGACGGTTGGGAGCATCCGGAATTGAACCCAGGTCCTCTGGAAGAGTAGCCAGTGCTCTCAACTGCTAAGCCATCTGTCCAGCCCCCAGTGTCCTCAACTTAATTTGGGTGTATAAGGACCGAGGGAAGAGGGCCAGGGGGATGGCACAGCAGGTGAGAACACTGCTGCCAAGCCTGCCAGACAACAGTTTGATTCCCAGAGCCTACAAGGTGGAAGGAGAGAACCAACTTTCACTCTCATGGCGTGGCATTTGGGAACGCACCCACATACACAAGTGAATCAATACATGTAGTTTTTAAAATGTTAAGAGTTCAGCTGGTGGGGATTGCATGAAGGAGCTGCTAAGCCAGACCCCTCCCTGGGCTAGGACTGATGCACCCAATGCCACGGTGTCTGTGGTCCTATTACTGGGTTCAGTTGAGTTCTGGAACTCTGGCCCGAGGAGAGGGCAGCCTGAGCCAGCTCTCGGTCCCCAGGATGCAGAAACCACCTACTTCTGCAACACCTGCGGGCAGCCCCTGTGCGCACGCTGCCGCGAAGAAACGCACCGCGCGCGCATGTTCGCGAGGCATGAAATTGTAGCCCTGGGCCAGCGCAGCCGCGACGTGATCCAGAAGTGTAGTGAGTGAGGCCCACCCTGGGCATGGGTGGGGACCAGGCGGGAATGTCTCCGGCTCACACCGCCGCCCCCGTCCTCTCCACAGCGCTGCACTCAGAGCCCTACATCATGTTTTCCACCGACAAGAAGTCGCTGCTCTGCATCCGCTGCTTCCGGGACATGCAAGGGTGGGTGGGTAGAGGGAGCAGGCAGGGAGTGGGTGCGGCGTGGATGGAGCGCGTCTCATTAGATGCCTCTCCACAGGGAGAGCCGGGCCCACTGTGTGGACCTGGAGTCAGCTTACGTGCAAGGATGCGAGCGGCTGGAGCAGGCAGTGCTGGTGAGAGCGGAACCGCGGGCGGGGTGGGGGTGGGAGCTGTGAGAACAGGGCTGAGACCTTGCTGTCTGTCCCCAGGCGGTGAAAGCCCTACAGACAGCCACGAAAGAGGCCATCGCGCTGCTCCAGGCCATGGTAGAGGAGGTGAGGCACAGCGCCGCTGAGGAGGAGGCAGCCATCCACGCCCTCTTCGGCAGCATGCAGGTGAGGGATGGGGTCAGTAACTACCCAGGTGCCCTGGTGGGTTTTACAGCGTAGTGCCAGGTACTCCATCAAATTGGGTTAGTCACAGTTGCCCTTCGAGTTGCCAGAGGCCAGCCTAGTCTGGTGGCATGTTGGTGGCAGGTCGAGGAAGACTGCACAAGAGGTGATGCTTACACGCAGGCACTTGGGGGGTGCCGTGCTAAGCATGCTGCCTGTGCCTGTGCCCCAAGGCATTGTGGGAGAAGATGACAAAGCCAGGTGTGGCAGTCAGTGATGGGCTATCTCTCCCAGGACAGGCTGTCTGAGAGGAAGGCCCTGCTGCTGCAGGCTGTGCAGTGGTGAGTGACAGAAAGCCCTTACCCCCTACCCTTGATCTTCATACACCCAGCCCTGAGCCTGAGCCTCGGCTGCCCAGGCTCTGCCTTGCACAGTGGACAAGACACGCAGGTGGCTGCCACCAAAAGTGAGCAGGCAGGGTGTTCACAGGGAAGGAACTACAAAGCGAGTGGGGAAGTGTGTGCCTGTAAGTGTGGCTCTTAGAGGGTAGAGGAGGGAGAGTCAGGAGTTCAAGGTTAGCCTGAGCCAGGGGAGACTGTTTCAACAACCAGAACAAAACCAAAAACCAGAGCTGTCAGTAAAAGCCCTGCCCCAGAAACATGAGGACCCAAAAGACATCCCAGCACACACTTAAAAAAAAAAAAATGCAGCGGGCATGCCTATAATCTCAGCCATGGGAGGCAGGGACAAGAGGGATCCCTGGGGCTCACTAGTCACAATCTAGCCAACTGGTGAGCTCCAAGATCAGTGAGAGACTGTCTCAAAAACCAAGGTGGTGGGTTATTGAGAAAGACGCCTGACGTGGACCTCTGGCCCCCATATGCAGGTGTGTACGTTATACACACCTGCATATGCACTCTGCCACACAGGCACATGAAGGAACATCACACACAGGAATATAGACACACACACACACACACACACACACACACACACACACACACACACCTGTGAAGGGACAGGGTTACAGAGTCAAAGACCCTCCTGGTGGGGCAGGCGTTTGCTCCCCCGAGATCAAAGCCTAGCCTGCCCTCTCCCCAGCCAATACGAAGAGAAGGACAAAGCTTTCAAGGAACAGCTTGCCCACCTGGCCTCCTTGCTGCCCACCCTACAGGTAAGGGTTGAGGGCAGGTAGGGCTGGACACCCCAGCCCACAGTGCAAGCACTGAGCACCGCACCCTTCTGCAGGTTCACCTGGTCATCTGCTCGTCCTTCCTCAGCTTGGCCAGCAAGGCCGAGTTTCTGGACCTGGGTTATGTGAGTGTCCCCAGCTCCTTCAGGACCCTCTCTCCCCATCTAGAGCCTCTCCTGCATAGAGTCCCCCTGTCTCACATCACCTGCAGGCCTGGCTGGGCATCTCTGGGCTTCCCTTCCACTACAAGCCCTTTTGGGGTCAAGTGAATACCTTTTAAACGGGCGGTGAACTTAACATTCCACCAACCTGCAGAGTCTGTCTGCGGGAGCCCCACCCACCTTAAGGATGTGGGTGGTGCCTGTGTATGGGCCAGTCCTAGAGAGGGCTGGAGCCTCTAAAGGAGACAGGCAAAATGGGACACTAGCCAGCCCCAGAGCCTTGAAGTCCTCCACTTCTCTCCCCCGCCCTGACCGCCACCTCCCCCGCGGTGGCAGGAGCTGCTGGAGAGGCTGCAAGGCATCGTCACGCGGCCGCATCGCCTAAGACCAGCTCAGAGCAGCAAGGTGCGCCGGCGCGCTGTCGAGGATGGGGGGTCGGGGCCGGGGAGAGCCGCTCATGACCGAATCTCCGGTCTAGATCGCCAGCGACCACCGTGCAGAATTCGCGCGCTGCCTGGAGCCGCTGCTGCTGCTGGGGCCCCGCAGAGCTGTGTCCACCGTGGGCGTCGCCAGCACGTGAGCCCCAAGCGGGCGGGCGGGCGGGGTCACTGGGAAATGCTCGCCTGCCTCCCTTCCTGGCTGAGTCTCAAGCGTACCCAGCCCTGCACTTAGTGTCTGGGCCAGGCGACAGTCTGAGAGGGAGGGAGAGACAAGGAACAGCCCTGGAGGACAGCTAAGAGACTGGCGCTCCTCGCCTCCTCCTCCACAGTCCCCTCACTGTGAATCAGAGTTCCCGGCCCAGTTGAAAGCCAGAGCCTCGGAGGGGTTAGAAGCAGTGAAATGCCCGAGTGAGACTTTGTGCGTCCAGCATAGAACGAGCCACACCTCGGTGTGTCCAGATCCAGCGGGGGGGGGGGGGGGGGGACGGGGGCTTTTAGAAATCACCAGATTAAGTGATGCCCTTACCTTGGTCTTGCCTGGGGCCCCTGAGAGCTTCCAGGAGTTCTACCCTGCAGTTGGGTTGAGGGGACCGAGGCTCCCTGAGCAGCCAAGGGGGGTTAGGGGAGGGGAAGGCCAGCCCTCACCCCTCTGCAGACTGGCTTTCTCCGCAGGTTGGCAGGAAGCTCAAGCCCCAAGGTGCTGAAGACACCCAGCTGTTCCTCCCCAGAGGGAAAGATTTCAGGGTCACCTGTCCAAAAACCCTCACCACACCGTTCCATCAGCACGAAGGTGCTCCTGGCCGAGGGCGAAGACACACCCTTCACAGAGCACTGCCGACGTTATGAGGATTCCTATCGGGTGAGGGGAGCTGGGCATCTGCGGGGCTGTGAGGCCCCGCCCCTTCCTCACTAGCATCCAGTTGTCTGGCTGTGTGGAAACCTGGCGGCATCCCATACCTTCTGCAACAGGGTCTGCAGCTAGAGGTGCAGAACCTGAAGGACCAGGTCCAGGAATTACACCGAGACCTCACCAAGCACCACTCGCTCATCAAGGCAGAGATCATGGGGGACATCCTGCACAGGTCCCTGCTGCTGGACACGCGGATCGCTTCTGAGTATGCCTCCATGGAACGCATGAGAGCCGTCTTCCAGGAGGTAATCTCCCCTCGGAACTCTACCAATCCTGCAGAAGGCACACGGCTACCCTAAGGCAGGAAGGGGAAAGAGTGCCTAGCGTGGCACTCCACTGGACCCTCATGCTGTGCCGTTCTGTGCCTGGAGGCTTTCCTCTTGAGAAATTGGACTAGATTGGTGTGTGTGGCTGTGTAGTTCCAGGAGTAGAAACATGCCCAGAGATACTACTCCACCCCACCTCAACCGGCATGCCACTCTTCTCTTTCAGATTTGGGAGGACTCCTACCAACGAGTGGCTACCCAGCAGGAGATTTATGAAGGTCCCTGGCAGTGGCTGCTCAGTGTTCACGAACATTCTAGAGGGGAGGGCACGGTCAGCCACTAACCCCACATGGGCCTCCCTGCTCTTTCCCTAGTGTTTGGCTTGCTTGGATCTCACACCTGCTTTGGAGGGTAGGATCCAGTGAGTGGCATGTCCACACCACATGCAGCTCCTTTTGGTCACAGAGGGTCACTGGCAGTTGGGATCTCTAGATGGCACTGGGCTTAGGAGAGAGAGTCTAACACCAACAACCAACACTTTGGCGTTGGCTTCGCAGCCCAGCTCCATGACCTTCTCCAGCTGAGGCAGGAGAATACCTACCTGACCACCGTCACCAAGCAGATCACACCCTACATCCGCTCCATTGCCAGGGTAAAGGAGCGGCTGGAGCCCAGGTGAGCGTGTGAGGGAAAGGTATCAGTAGCAATGCAGGCAGGCCAGGCTGGCGGGTTCTGGCAGACCAGGTGCCAGAGTCTGCCAAAGAAGGGGTGGTACACTCTAGAAGCTCAAGCAGGAGGATTGCCATGAGCCTCAGGCCAGACTTTCTCGTAGCCAGACTTAATCTTAAACAAAACACCCCCCACAAAAAAAAAAAAAAACCCATGGTAACTGAGCAGACTGAGAAGGTTGCTAGGTGCATGGTGGCTCCCTCCAACTCTTAGGGCATCAAAGCAGGAGGAACCTTAACTATCGGGTGAGTCTCCTGTGGTCCCAGCAAATTCATCAGCTCACGGTTGACCAGCCAGGTCTGGACCAGACACCAGAGTGTTATGATCAAACCAGTAATCTCAACTGTTCATGCCTAGCATGAGTGAGACCCTAGGTTCAGCTGACGTACTGGGGAGTGCTGTGGTGATGAACGATGCTCACTACGGATGCTCTGCTGGGGCCCAGAGGCGCTGGAATTCCAGGTGCCCAGCCTGTCTCCTGCCCCCCCCCATTTCCTCTGATATCTCCCATCCATCTTCCAGCTAGAGTGTCAGTTAGCTTCTGGAGAGGGGCATGTGTGCCCACGCTTGGATCTACTCACTCCTCTTGGAAGCTGGCAGACTCCCGTCTTGCCCAGGCCTTGAATTCCACACCATGAGGTGTTTCCAGCCACTGGGATGGGTGACAATGGTTCCTCTCAATCTTGAAGTCCCTATCTTTTGGTTTGGGGTTTGGCATACTCTTTTAAATCAGTTGCTGACTTGGATGCGTGTCTTTCTAGTGTTCCTGCGGGGGGGGGGGGGCGGCGCTGGGCCTACACTTTACCATTTCTTTGTCGTGTACTTTCTGGAAAACCTCTCACATGTCTCCCAGTCTTCTTGCTGATCTTGGTAGCTTTTCTTTTCCTTTTTGGCTGGATGTGGTGGCTGTACACCTTTAATGCCAGAACCCAGGAAGCAGAGGCAAGTATATCTCTGTGAGTTGGAGGCCAGCCTGGTCTACATGGCAAACCCCGGGCCAGTCAGGATTAGATACTGAGACCCCATCTCCAAAAAATATTTACTATTTTGTGTCTGTGTACATGTATGCATGTGCCACCACCACCTTGCTGCAGGAGTCATTTCTGTGAGCTCTGGGAATCCGACTAAGGTTCTCCTGCTTGGAAGCAGGCCCCCATCTTGGTTTTGACTTTCCAGTTCCCTCTGGTGCTCTGTTCCTAGCTCCTGTGTCCAGGGATTCCCTTGCCACTTGAGGCTGAGAGGCAGGCTTTGATGTCTTCAGGTAGTTTGCCCCTAAGGCCTGCTTCCTCTGAGTCAGTCTTTGTCCAGGTGCTTATTTTCCATGTTGCAGGTGACTGTAGATCTACTTAGCCAGAAGCAAGAGCAGAGAAGCAGCTGTAGGTGAGCAGGGCATGCCTGGAGGACACCTGCCTCTGAGGCTCTCAGTGTACAGGCTGGTCTTCTTGCTTTTAAAATGCCACTGTCAGATTTCCGTCCTTTTCTAGTTTCCTTCCTGGGAGGCCTCTGTACGGAGCTGTGTCTGCCTCTCTCCTTGGGCTCTGGTGTTCTCAGGTGTGCTTCTTTTACACTTTCTCTGTGGTTAGCCTCCTCCTGGTTCCTGGCTGCTCTGCTCCTCAGCTTACTGCCTGAATAATAGCTTTGCCCAGGACTCATCCCAGACATTCCTCACTTTCTACTCTCTCCTTAAGTGACCCCACTCATCCCACTGCTCACACCCACACCCACACACTCTCTCTCCTCTCCCCCTCTTCTCTCCCCTCCTCTCTCTGTTCTCTCCCTCTCTTTCTCCTCTCCTCCCTCTCCCCTCTCCATCCTCTCTCTCTCTTTGTGCTTGACTGCCCATGCATATATGGATTAAGCCCAGCCTTGGGTGTTCCAAGCATGTGCACTCTGCAGAGCTAACCCACCCCATCCCAGTTCTCTGGCTTTAAAGTGAGAGACAACCCACCATGCACCCTAGCATCCCTGTGCTCCAGACCCTTATCTTGGTCAATGGCATCATGTGTTATCAGCCTGGGAGCTGAGCTGGTTCCTTTTCTCATCTGTTCCCTTTTTGTTTGGATTTGTTTTTCTGAGACAGGGTTTGTCTCTGTAGCCCTGGCTGTCCTGGAACTCATTCCGTAGACCAAGCTGGCCTTGAACTCAAAGGTTCTCCTGCCTCTGCCTCTCAAGTGATGGGATTAAAGGTGTGCGCCACCACTGCCTGGCTACTTGTTCCCATTTTCAACCCATCCCAAGACCCCAGACTGAACTCTCCATTTCAGCCTGTTTACTATGTCACTTGTTGGGATTCCCCACCCCCATCCAATCAACCCTACTGTGTCTTCAACATAGCCCACAGCCATTTTAAAATAGTCTGCAATGCCCATCACAACAGGTCACCTCAGCTCTCCAGGGCCCCTCTGGGCCCACTGTCAGACTACATGACACCCTGGCCACAGTGGCCTTTCAGTCCCCCTGGGGGCAGCTGCACTAGCTCCCACTTCTGGACGAACCTCTGCCTGGAAGGTTCATGCTCTAGGTTGGCTCATGGGACCGCATGGCATCACTAAGGCCTCCCCACACTGCCAACTAAAGCAAGCCCAGCGAACTATCATTCCACACCACCTGGGGCCCACTGTTTGTTCCCCGAGGCATCTCCCCTGACCAGTAGATAGCTTGTGAAAGCCAGGCCTGACCAGGGCCTGCATGCTACTGTGGCCAGTGGCTCTGACAAACCATACTAAATCTTGGTAAATAGTCCCAGACTGAGGGAGAAGTGTTGGATGTGGCCTGGAAGGTCTGCTGCCTTGTGGTTTTGGTACAGGGTGAGTTTAAGACAGCCTATACCGGTTCCTCTTGCCCAGATTCCAGGGACCTGGGGATGAGCAAACGGAACAGATCCTGTATGATGATGGCAGGGACGGTGCCACCTCAGCCAGGTAAAACAGCTTCTTTCCAAAATGAGCAGGGGTTAGTGACAAGGACAGATTTTGGGACAAACAAGGGGTGAGCACAGAATGAGCTACAAAGTGGGGCAGTCTTAGAAGAAACAAGCAAAAAAAAAAAAAAAAACCCACAAACAAAAACAAACACACCTTGCACCTTCCAGTTATTCACCCCAATGACAAACACGAAGGGAAAGAGAGGCCCTGTAGTTTCACAGGCCTTTTGGGGAACACGGAGCTGTTCCTTTGGCCACATGTAACCCATTTACAAGGGTGACATTGTGGTCATTAAGGAGAAGTCCACTGTTTAAAACAGGAACGTCCTATGATGTCCAACATACTACTGGCATCCTTGTGAGCCAGCAAGTGAAGGCCAAGTTCTCATTGAGAGAATTAATGTGTGGCCAGGAGAGCTCCTGGACAGGGAAAAGGAAACCAGAGGCACCTGTGAGAAACCACGGCAGTCTGTGAGAACGAGGGAGTCTGAGCAGCTAGACTCCATTCCCTGTGGATTGGTGGCTTCATGTACAAAAAAGAAATAAAACACCCTGTCCATAAAACAGAAATAGGCTGGATAGATGGCTCAGGTAAAAAATGCTTGATCCTCAACACCCACATTAAAAAAAAAAACAACCCCAAAAACTGCTGAGTGTCACCCACTGGAGGGGTATGGACAGGAGGAACCCTGGGGCTTGTTGGCCACCATTAAAGCCTACTTGGCAAGTTCTAGCAAGTGAGAGACTATCTCAAAGGGGGGGTGGGGCTGAGGAACAATACCCTAGGTTGTCCTCTGGCTTCCACATGCACATGTACACACACGTGTAACACAGGAGTACACACATGTGTAACACACGAGTACACACAGGTACATCCACACCAGTATGTGCATACATGTGTAACACACGAGTACACACAGGTACATCCACACCAGTATGTGCATACATGTGTAACACACGAGTGCACACACACACACACACACACACACACACACACACTGGTACTCACTGTACTAGTGAGATGGAGGCAGGACTGGCAGGAGCTTAAGCCAGACAGGGCTACACAGTGAACTGAAGACCTGTTTGGGCTACACTGCAATGCTAAAAACACCAAACCCAAACAATTAAAAAACAAAACAAAACAAAACAGAAAAGTGTTAGTCACTGGGACGAAGAGTATCTAGAGTTGGGAGTTCAAGAGCTGTCTAGAACCAGTTTGTTGAAGGTGGAGCAGGTGGGTGTCACCTTTCATACAAGAATGTGCTTAGGACAGCCCTAGTTCACAGGCCACCAGTCTGAGCTGTTGAGATGCTTAAATACACTCTGATGCTTGAGCTACTGACAGCTGTCCCCTGGGGTGAGACTCGAGGCGGCAAAGCTCTCTCAACGGGCACACTTCTGTGAGTGTGGAGAGGTCTTCCCTTATCAAGGCATAGTGAAGCGTTGGGAATGGAGTCATCTGGCTCACATCAAACTATTTTTTAGGACCGACCCAGGGAGCGCCACTGAGGAGAGAGAGAGGGCGTCTGAGCCCCACGGAAGCAGCTGGGCCCTGAGCAGCCACCCAGAAGCACCTCCATTAAAGAACCAAGACCACCTCAGACCCAAGTAGGAGACCAGAGATGAAGGCTGGCGAGGTGGCTCAGGGCCCAGAGGGGCTTGCTGCCAAGGCTGCTGATCTGGAGCACCGTGGCACAAGGAGAGAGCTAATTTCCACACACATTTGCAATAAAGAAGTAATGTGAAAGACCTTCTCAGTGAGGATGGCATCCCACAGGGACGGCAGCCCAGTAACCGGGTCCTAGTGAGGTGGACCCAGACGCCAGCGTCCCCACGACTGGCACACACGCTCCAGACATGGCTCAGGGGTTAAGAGCACTGGCTGCTCTTTCAGAAGACCCCGGGGTTCAGATACTGTCCCCTACATGGTGCTCACAACCACCTGTAACTACAGTCCAGGGGATTTGACACCCTCCTCTGACCTCTGTGAGTACCACATACATGTGGTACAGACATACATGCAGGTAAAACACACATAAAAATAAATGGGGGCAGGGAAACATGTGCTGCCACCAACTGACCTATTATGTCTTTAATCCCAGCACTCAGGAGGCAGAGGCACATGTATGTTTCTAAGTTCCAGGACAGCCAGGGCTACACAAAGAAACCCTGTCTTGGGGGGGTGGGGGGAGTTAAGCTACATGACCCAAAATTGAAGTTTTGGAAACTAAATGATGCCCTTACGGTCACATTTCAAGAAAATATACAGCCTGATTCAGTTAAACAGCAAAATGCTGCTTTTATGTACCAGAGAGGCTGGCACCTCACACAGCCCACAGCGACTGCACTGATACCCTGTCCCCGAGGGCAGAGGAAGTTAGTGCTATAAAAGCTGCTAGAGCAGCGTGCTCTCAAGATGTGCTATGGGACATTCACATCACGGTTCATAACGGCAACAAGATCACAGTTGTGAAGCCGAAAGGGAATACAACTTTGTGGTTGTGCTCCACAACATGAGGAAGTGTATTTATTATACAGGGTCCCAGTGTCAGGAAGGTTGAGAACATTGCTCTAGGGGCAGGAGTTCAGAAGTCAGCCTCGAGACAAAACACACATGACTTGATGCTGGTGGCGCGGAATTCTCATCAGGACACGGTTATCACATATGGCTTCTACATCCTACACAGTCACGCTTGTTCATAGTGAAATCAAGTACAGTTTTATTTAAGAATTAGAAAGAATAATTGGTATCTGTGAAAGAAAATCCCATTTAATATATTTAAATAAACATTTCTGTGTGTAAAAAGAAGAGTACAGTAATTACTCCGTTATTCCCCCTCCTGGCAATGGGTCAGACAAGCTGCCTCCACTCACTCAGGATGGAGGCTGGCCAAGCTCAGGACGAGCAAGGGACAAGCTTCAGAGCCATACAGCTGCCCACCCATCGGGAAGGCTGAGGGCTCCAACCTTGCTGCCACTGTAAAAGCGGAGCAACCTAAGGCAGGGAGACGGTGGGAGGAGGAACAGGGAGGACTCACTAGCTGTTCTGAGGCAGCAACCTAGGAGCTTTGGCTGAGTCCTCAGGGACCTGACACTAAAACTGTCCTCCCTGATACACCAGCCCCCAAGTTAGCAACTACGTGGAAGAATTAATATTAAGTGTATGTCCTAGGCCTGAGCAGCAGCAGCTCCCACCGTGGCCACGGCTGTTTCTTGCCCAGCTTGGAGGCTCACTCCTCTGCAAATAGCCACACCTGCCTGCGGCAGCTGCAGGACCTCCTCAATGTTTCCATGATTGCCAAGTAGCCTATTCTGTGTGCAGTAGCCACTTTCTACCCGAGACCATTCACTCTGAAGCCTGCAACTAGACAAGTCAGTCTCCTGACAGTTCTGTAATTCGTGGAAGCCCAAAGACACGGTGGCCTGTCTAATCCCTGAAAAGCCCCATTAGCCTGATTCTCTGCCACCACCTGTCACTGCTATATTTATAAAGTTAAGAACAATCTCTAGGCCACAGCAACAGAGGACAGCAATCACCTGCCAAGCCTACTGTTAAGGAGCTCACGTTCCGTTGTGGACTTCTGACTTCCACCCTAGACGTTTCAGGAGGGTGGGCCTGTTCCTCCTCCACTCACACTCCCTAATAAACACAACCTTTAAGTCTCCTAGGGTACAATGCAGCATCTCACCAAGAGATCCTATGGCCTGGGCTCCCTCTCTCCTGGCCTGCCTTAGGCTGAGCTTTCCAGCATGTCAGGTGGAGGGAGGGTGACATCAAATGCCGGCATTCAGCTTTACAACCCACAAAGCCAAGGGCTGTCATTAGCTGTTCTCCATCCATCAAAAAGACAACTTCATGGCCCTCAAGGGGGATGGAGGCTGGAGCCAGCCCAGCTTAGATGCGCTGAGAGAGAGCCGGGTATGACAAACACCCATCCATTTGCAGCCTGGTGAGTGGGATGCGCTTGAGGAGGTGTGGTCTGGCTCCACCCACTTCAAAACTGAGTATTGCTGTCCCACCGTGGTTATTCCTGGGCAGCTTGGTGTGGACAATAGCCATAGCCACAGAGCTCTGCAGGCCTCAGGAGAACCTGAGAGCTGGCAGCTCCTAAACCAACTGACCTCATACTGGTAACTGGCAAACCTGTAAGCCTCTTTGGTATATAGAAAAAAAAAAAAAAAAAAAAAAAACCATGTAGTTTAAAAAAAAAAAAAAAAAAAAAAAAAAAAAAAAAAGCCATGTAGTCTAAAAATAAACAACTTTTGAGCAGGCTAAAAGTTTTTTGAACATACATCAGCTATATCCAGTTATCACATTGAAACCCAGTTCTCCTACTGTAAGACTTCATTCTGCCATCTGACTCACCTAACCATTAAAAATCTGACACAGGGGGTAGGGGGGCCGGACAGGGAGGTGAGCAGAATTGGGGTGAATGATGTGCAACTCCCAAAGAGTCAATAAAGAACTTAAATGAAAAAATAAAATCATTTTAAGGAAAAACAAGGACACAAAAGAGATGGGTTTAGAAAAAGGCGTGAGTGTGGGAAAAGCTAACATTCAGTATGATATACAATATTCAACGAGCTCCTCTCTTCTGTCCTCTCTTTATCCCCCTCCCTTTCTAATAAAACTTCTCACTCACACACACACACACACACACACACACACACACACACACACACACACACACACACGATACAACGAAACTGCAAAAGAATTCATAAGATCTCTCTTATCTTAAAAAAACAAACAAAAAACAAAAAACAAAAACCCTGACGCTGCTCAAAGTCCTCCCAACACCCCTGTGAGGTAGGTAGGTGGTCCGGACCCCATCCTACTGATGGGGAGGCCTAAGCACAGAAGGGTGTGGGGGGGATAGAGCAAAGCTCTGGTCACACCCCCACCACAGCAGGGGCTGAAGTGGTCTTGGGGTTCCGGCTTGTTAGGAAGGAAGTCTTTTCCCGGTGGCTCACTCAGGCTCTGCGGGCCTCTCTCTGTGTGAGCCAGTTTCCTCAGTGGTGCATGTGGCCTGCAGACTGGCCCCAGAGCACTTCCAGCTGGGTGAATTCTCCGCTGTGCCTGCCTCCCTGGCTTCCTAAGCTGACTGACCAGGCCACAAGTCTTTGAGATTTCTGGATTCGTAGAAGTTCTGGTATAGGAACAGGGACTGGGATCACCACCGTGTTGATGGAACACCTATTATGGCAAGAAAAGCTAGAATTCCCCATTTACGCAGCCCCCAAGGTTTCGACAACTCGGGTTGAATCCTACAATATACCAACCCCCCACCTGACTGTGCCCCCTTGTCTGACAAGATCCTGTGCTGTCTCAATATTCAGCACTCAGCCACGCTAACCTCATCACCCTCATGGCCAGAACGCCCTCCACCACTATGTCCTCCGGAGCCGCTGGGCCCGAGTGTTCACAGACACATCTGCAGGACCACTAAGTTCCTGCATCTACTGCTCACCAGCCACACGAGCCCGTTGTCTCTGCTGAGGCAGAGGACACCAGTCCTGCCTTAAGCCAGCCAACCGGGGAATCGTAGGTCACCAAGGTAAATGCATGCTTCCCTGCTGGCTGCACTGCTGTGATGTGGTTCCCACCACCACCACTGCCAACATCAAAGCCAAGCTCCAAGGTTGCCAGTAATTACCAACCCCACATTGTGGTACCTGGAGACCCAGCCTAGGTACAGCAAGCTGCCAGCATGTTTGGCAACACTGCCATACTCAGGATTCCCAGCAGGCTAGAATGAACGCAGGGCATACTAAGTGTCCATTCTTTTCAACCCCACAATGAGTCAGTTAAGAATGTCTCTGCTCAGGGGAGAAGGAAGGACGGACAGACAGACGGTGTTTGAGTCTGAGAGAACCTGAGCACAGAGCACTCTAAAGGCTGATCTGGATTCGGTTGGACTTGGCAGGAAGTGACAGGCGGAGGCAGCATGCCGATTACCAGAGCCAAGTGTGTTAGCCGACACACATGCAAATTTTCAGAGTGGTTCTTCACCAGCTGTGCTCATGTTGCCTGTTGCACACTAAGACACTTCTACATCTGAGAGTAGAAGCTTGGAGAACAAATCAAAACCCCAGGTTGGAAGGATCTCACATCAAGACCAAGTCCAGACTGATCAAGGGTCACACCTGCTTGAAGCTTTTATGTGCAACAACAATGCTACATGCCTCCCAGACCTGCAGAACAAGGGTGCCAGTGGACCTGGCCCGCGTTGCCCAACCGAAGGTTATTCAAGAGTCAACTGCCTGAACTCACAGGTGTGTGAGCTATGCTGGACCCTCTGGGAAACAAACGCAAAACACTTGAAGCAGCAGCAAGGGTGACTTACTTTGAAAGAACACAGAAAACAAATGCGACACACTAACCCTGCAACAGAAAAACACAAAACATGAGCTATGATAAAATGAGAGGGGAAAAAAAAAAAAAAAAAAAAAAAACCAAACACACAGAGGGCAGTATTTCTCAACATCAGCACAGGCACCTGGTAAATACTTCCTGGGGAAAGATTCGGTGAGGCCAGGCCTGCAGGAGACCCCAGGGCCTGCATCCTCGGGCCCGGGTACAATGGCTGCTCAAAGCCACGGAGCACTGAAGGGGTCTGTGCTGCCTGTTGGTCTTGGAAACAGCAAGGCAGGAAGCATCGGCGTCCCTTTGAATCTATACTGCTGTTCTTAGGGAACTGGTGTGTAAATATGATGAAACGCATGATGAGCTCTAGAGTTAGCACAGATGCTCGTGCACTTAGGGGCAGACAAAGGTTAAAGTTATGCTGTGTTTTCGGTGAAATTAAAGGTTTCTGATGCGATCTGAATGCTGTTATGCGGCAGCTCTGACTACACATTCTGGCGTTAGTGCTGCAGAGGGCAGTGTCCTCTCCCGAGTGTTCCGGTCACAGTGCACATACACGCTGGCCTGAGGGGCATGAGACTGTGGCTTGGGTCCTCGCCCTGCCGCTGTGAAAAGGGCAGGGATGAACCTCTTCAACATGCTCCTTGTTCACCGTCTACCTTCAGTCCACACAAGCAGAGGCTGCTTCAGCATGTCCTTTGGTGCTAAGGCCTTCTGACCGTTAGGTCTCGGGTGACATTCTGAGGAGTAATTAGGGACATATAAAATGATTAAGAAACTCATTCTGCAGTGGCCAATTGGATGTAGTTTTGTCTTAGGCTGTGCAGGGCCAGAGACTGCCTGGTCCCACAGGCCTCTGCCCTCATAGCTCCACCTTGACTCCTTTAATGAAGGGTAGGCCCGTGGGTACCCTCTTCTTGTACTCCAAGTATTCCTCCCCAAAAAAGTGAATGAGCGAGATCTCCTCCTCTTCTGTGCGGTCACGGAAGAACCGCCACACCGTCAGGGCGTAGACAACACCACAGATGGGGTTACACAGCATCACCTGGCAGAAGAGCACAAGATGACCAGTCAGAGCGGCCTGATGCCCAGGCACCTTCTCCACACAGGGCTTCTTGCAGGGGCCCAGAAGACACTCAATTCTGTGAAAGCCGTTAACATTCCCCGGAGTCACCCTCACTGCTGCATCTTTTTGTACCTGTCTGTGATTCTCAAGTAAGCAAGACCTCAGTTACAGTGAGAGACAATACTCTTGGGTTTCAATCATAGCTGGCGCAAGCCCCCACCTGAACTCAAGGGTGGTGTGGTGGTGGGAACTCATACCCGTGTCTCTGTCCTCCTGACCTCTCCCTGCCCACTTGAACAGACCTGTTTATCTTGGACCCTTCTTCCTGCCCCCAAGACCACATGAGCCAAAGGCTACCATCTGAGCTTCCAAAACATTTTTCAGAGATTACTCAGCTCAGAAAGTGGCAGGTGCACAAGTCACAAAAGCTGTGCCTAGCCGCCTTTTATATGTGGCTTCTTTTGAATCCCCGCCCCCTTTCCAACCTAGTCCTCCAGCCACAAAGCCCCTCAAAGTTGAAAGCATCCCCAGCTTTAGAAGCGTCCTTTGTTGCCGTGGAAACCACTACCCCACCCACACCCACTCTAGGTATCAGGACCCATCCAGTGACACTTCCCCTCAGGGAACCAGGTATGCCCCAACCACTTCCCTGCACTCTTCACCGAGCACTGGCTGTGTTCACAGCACTATACTAAGCCACTCAGCCTTCAACCCATCTTTGACTCAGAAGCACTGTCCCTACACTACCGTCCTGGCTTACACGGTAGAGAAGGCAGGCCTCAGTGACCAGGCCTGGCCCACCTGGCAGCACCACAGTCTGTGCCATCACAGCTGGCAAATGTGTGCAGCTTTCTGGGCAGCCTTGAAGGCAGGATTCTTAATCATCAGTGGCAACCTTCTACCGAGCCAGGAAAACCAATTTTCAGTGCGTCATCAACATCGTTCCAACAGTCAAGACAAAAAAATAGTGTTTTGTATAAGGTAAGCGAAAACCAATTTTCAGTGCGTCATCAGCATCGTTCCAACAGTCAAGACAAAAAAATAGTGTTTTGTATAAGGTAAGCACCGATGCAGCAAAGACCCATCCTCCACAGGTACACACACATGCACAAGGGTGCACTGTAGAAAACACCAATGATCTCAAAGGCATGAAAAGCCCTTCAGCCCTTAGGCTGCAGAGGCATTTGACAAATTACATTCATCAGCTGCCATCAGCGCCATCATCCCAGGGCTGCGACTGCAAGCGGAGCAGTACGGCGTCCCAGAGACACACAGCTCTGAAAGAAATGCTAGAGTCACCTCCTATGCCGTTATGGGGTCACCAGAATCCCCGTGGCCTGTGCACCACTCAAGGGGATGTCTGGGGGGTCCCAGGTGATTTTCCCAGGCTCTACTTACTCTCTCTGGCCAGGTTGTTCTAGGACTAAGTATAGCACCAGAGACAGCTGTTAAGAAACAAGGGTTTGGTCTGGATCCCCAGACAGAGCAAACCCCACAGCTCTCATTAACCTGGCAGGACCTTGGCCTCATTCGGGCCTATTTTTTGATGAAAACCCACTGAGCTACCACAGGGTGGCTGAGGACATTCCCTCCCCAAAGCCTGCCTTCTCTAGCCCAAGGTGTTCCAGATTCCAGTCAGAGTGGCAGAAAGGGGCGCAACACAGGGCAGCGCAGCACCACTACCACTAGGGGTCACATGCCACTCAGAAGGCAGGCTTGCCCCTGTCTCATCTCCCTTTCTGATGCTGGCCTGAAGGGAAGCTCCCTCCCTGCAGCGGCTGACCTCTGTGCTCACCTCCCTGCAGCAGGCTGACCTCTGTGCTCACCTCCCTGCAGCAGGTTGACCTCTGTGCTCACCTCCTGGTGGGTGCCAGACTTACCACCTGCTGCCCTGGGGTTTCCCCTTTAAAAGAATAAATCGTCCTCAAGTTTAAAATAATTTAAAACAACGCCCAGATTTCACCTCTAAAACACCTAACGACTAGATTAGGTCATGACCACCTGGAACACACCAGGGAGCACAGGATGACAGGCCATCGGTGCACACACTAAAAAAGACTTAAATGAACACTTAGAAATGATGGGTTTTACGGTGTGCCAATTATACTTCAATTTCAGAAACATAAAACAGTCAAGTGGCCTAGACAGGAGGGTTACAAGTTCAAGTAAACGTGGACTACACAGCAAGACTCTGTGTCAAGACACCAAAAGAGAAAGAAACTTAGGAAAAGGTAAATTCACAGAATACCAGTGTCAACTTTGGTACCATACCTGGGTCCCGATACTCCAGTAAAACCAGCCCACGTAGGAGGGATGCCGGAACCAGGCATACACCCCGCTCGTCACCAGAGTGTGGGTGTCTGACTTCTCACTCTGCACCACGTGGTTGAAATTGGAGCCAGCTGTGAACATGGCCGCTTTCCGCAGGCACTCTCCAAACACCACCATCAGCAGCCCAGTGGTGCTGAGCCAGGTGATCTGCTTCAGTTCTGCAGAGACACACAGGGACAAAGAAGGAGTGGGGGCGCTGGGGTGTGGATGACTGTCTGAAATGACCTCTTTCCCTCAGGAGAGAGACACCAGAAAGCACCCTGTGGGCAATCAGCATCTATCATCACATTAAACTTGAGCAATAAGAAAACTACCCCCAACCCCAGCACCACTGTTTTCTGTTTCAAGTGCCAACAAGTCAACTGTGAGCAGCTCTCCCTGCCTGGGCTGATGGGCTCCGTTCCGAGCCACACACTGGTTCACATCCTTCCCTAGGGAAGGTGTATTGCCGAGAGAAAAAGACCAGTCTGTTTCCAAGTCAGTCCGAGCACCCACATCCAGCCTTGGGTAAGTGTGATTTAGGTGTGTTCCCAATACAGACGTCTTGTTTTGCTTTATAATAAAACCATGTGAAATTTTCATGTTACAGAAAAGTATTTGGGCTCAAACTTCATCTAGTCCAATGCCAATGTTAAGATTGCAACCAGCAAGGTGAGGCGCCGTCTCAGGCAGTGCCCTGAAATCTCAGGGCTAACAGCAAAAGGTCAACATGTCCTGGATTCAAAATCCAGAAGCAGAATTCTCCAGCGAGTGGAGTCTGTCCTTTATAAATAGCTTAGGGAGGGGCGAGGGCTGGGGCGTATTGCTCAGGGGAGATTAGACCCGAAAGGTAAGCCAATGTCACTCTCCTAAGCCCACAGGAAGGCACCCTCCCCCCACCAGACAGGAAAAGTAGGACACACCCACCTGGCCAAAAGATGTTTTCCAGTGTGAACTCTATCCAGGAAGAAAGAGCAGCCACTGTGTACTCCAGACTGTGGTTCAGGAGGAAGGAGTCCAAGGACAGACTTTTGGGGTTATTGACAGCTGTCACTAAGTACTCAGAATAGTGGAACAATGACAGCGAGCACACATACCTGTGCAAAAAAACACAAACAAAGCAGTAGACTAGGCAAGAGAACCAAGTTAGGCAAAAGTATAGATCCTGGTCTGCTGAGCTGTCCCTAACCCATGTGCTGCTGCCATCACCCGCCTGAGTGACACCAGGCAGGCACACATGTCATCCATTCCCTCTTGAGCTTGCAGAAAGTGGGGGGTTGAGTGGTGCTGTTATGTTTCTGAATGTCACAGACAAAATTAAAAAAAATAAAAATCTCCATAGGTGAAGGAGGAATTATGGTCCCTTTACGGCTTTTAATATGACAACTTCTTCACACTTTAACATGAAAGGGGAGGATATCAACAAAGTAGCGATGCATGTGGGAAACAAAACTCAACAGAACTAAAATGATTCCAGCAAAGAAGGGTTAGACGGCTCAGCGTACTGATAATAGGAGATAAAGCGTTTTACCTTGAAGCCACGATTCATATCCAAGTCAGAGGCTAGAAGGCTCAAGGGACTGAACTCATAGTGTAGGGGAAAGTCCTACACTGGCTGTGGGGGAAGCACTAGCCGGGACCTAATAGAAACCGGAGACGGAGAAGGCTTAGGAAACAGCGGGAAGCGTGCCCCTTCCCATCACCGCGGACCTGCACCCCTTCAGGAAATGGCTCATCATGGCAGCTTCGGATGGCGGGAGCCTCTGGAGAGGGCACAGGGAGACCCGTTTCCATCCACCACAAAATCCACTGACATGCACAACGGTGTTCACGAGACTCGAAACGTGGGGATTCGGGGGAGGCAGGAAAGAGGCTGCTGCTTCAGAATCCTAACCAGCCTCCTGCTGTCAGAGCCCACACAGGGATGAGGAGAGGCCCCTACTCACCCACTACTCTGCCGACCCTCACCTCAACACCGTCATTCCCAAAGGCAGTCTTACCAGCCAAAGTGACTCCAGGAGGACTGGCTGAAACTTAGTAGCACACCGCAGCCAAACACAAAGCCGAGGAAACAAGCTCGGATGGCTATCTGCAAACACACCCAGAAGAGCCTCAGTCACCGGAAGTTCCATGTGCAGAGCCCAAACCCAGACTCTGAACACCGTGAAGGATGAGCAGGGTCCATTTGCTCAAGAGAGAAAGAGGATGAAATGGGGTTGCTTGGATTCGAATTGCTCTCTCTCTCTCTCTCTCTCTCTCTCTCTCTCTCTCTCTCTCTCTCTCTCTCTCTCTCTCTCTCTGCCCTCCCTTCGGCAAGTTACTTAAACGACAGTTTACCCATCTACACCATGGAAACAACAGTACTGTAGGGCAACATAGAGGCTTCGCCACAGAAAGCACCTAAGAACCCCCGGTTTTAACAGGCACAATAAGTATTACTATTACCACCGGCATCGGCAGGGCTATCTACGGGAAAGGTGTTTACGCCCCATTTAGGGGCTATACTCCCAAGTCAACGCCTCTAATGAAAACTCTCGCGACTGTGCCCTCAGCCACCTCTGAGAAGTGGGGCGTCGGCCGGCAGGTAAAACACCACACCTGTCGTTACATAAACTTAAAAACCCCGTGAGTTCGCTCACTTCCCACCTGGCTTGGAAGCCGCTGATGGGCAGGGGATGCAATCAACACCCACAGCTAGGGGAAGCGGGTCCCTGCCGGGACCTCAGCTTCTACCTCGGGCACAAGCGTGTGGGGTGGAGGCGAAAAGGCAGAGCGACCACCGCCAGGCTGCAAACCAACCGGCTGCCTGCTCCCCGCCAGCCCGAGCCCGGTCCCCAGGTCACCTACTCAGCCCTGCCTGCCCGATGGATCCGGGCCCCGAGCCCTGTCCGCCCGGCGCGCCCTGCCCCGGTCGCCACCTCCTCGGCTCACCCTGCCCGGTGCCCGCCTGGTCCCGGGCCACCCTGTCCGTCCCGCCGGTTCCCCATCCCCGGTCCTTCCCCGTCCCCGATGCCCCGTCCCCGGTGCTCCGTCCCCGGCGTCCGTCCCTCCGCACCTGGTAGCGCGGCGGCCGGTAGAGCAGCAGCAGCAGCGCGTTGAGCCCGGCCACGTAGAGCGCCAGCCCGGTCCGGCACTGCAGGCCGGCGCGCGTGAGCAGCGGCAGGGCGAGCACCGAGGCGCCCAGCCGGCAGGTAGCGAGGCTGAGGCGCGCCTCGGAGCCCGGCGGAACCCGCGCCGCGCAGCCCGCCATGGCGCAGGGCGGCGGAAGAGCCGGCGGCGGACTAGCGGCCCGAAGCGCCGACCGTAGCCGGGGAAACCCGAAGGCCGCGCCTGCGCACTCGGCCGCTGACGCCGGCTCGGGAAGGGCAGGCAACCCGGAGCTGCTCGGGGCCCGCCTGCGAGTTCTCGCGAGAATGGCGCCGCGCGCGGCGGAGGGCCGGGATTCGGAGCGAGCGGCGCGCCCCGCCGTCGCTAGGAACGTGACGTCGGCAGAGGGGCGACGGGCCATCCCGGAAGTGGCCTCGTGGTCTTGTCGAAGTTCACCCCAAGTTTAGAACCGAATCCCGGTCCCAAGAAACCACCGGGCGTCACCGGCCCCTCGTTCGTGCCTCGGCCCCAAAACAGACCCCGGGCCCTAGGGTCCGCGGACCGGGCGACGAGCCTTCGAGACCGGCATCCGGGGCCTCCCCGAAACGGGATCGCCCCTCCTAAGTGGAAGTAACTAGGGTTTACTATCTATCTATCTGTCTGTCTATCTGTCTGTATATCATTCCATCTATCTGTCCATCTATCTATTATCTATAAGTTTTTTGTTTGTTTTTTACAGACAGCGCACCAAACTTTGTTGTGATGCTTGATTTGGGGGGAGGCCAGCATTCGGAGCGATTTTGATTGACCTGTAACAGGTTTCTTTTTTTAAAGATTTGTTTATCGTGTATAATATATACGTCGTTCCTCCTCCTGCATCCCCTCAGGCCAGGAGAGGGCACCAGATCTCACCAACGATGGCTGTGAGCTCCATGTGGTGCTGGGATTTGAACCCGGGTCCTCGGGAAGAGCAGCCGATGCTCCTAACCGCCGAGCATTCTTTCCATACCCTGTAATAGGTTCTGTTTGTGTGCGTTTTCCATGCTGCCTATAATGAAGATGTCAGTGTTAAAGCCAGAAGTCTTCCCTCACTTCTTGTCATTTTAAATTTACACAGTACTCGGGGGCTGGGGAGAGGGCTCAGAGGTTAACAGCACTGGCTGCTCTTCCAGAGGACCCAGGTTCAATTCCCAGCAACTGCATGGAGCTCACAACTGTCTGTAACTCCAGTTCCAGGGGAGCCGACACTTTCACACCAATTCACATAAAATAAATTTAAAAAACTAGTTTAAAAAATGTATACAGTGCTCGGATATATTCGTGTGGCACCACACAATGTGGGTTTGACCAGTCTGGAATCGGAATCCACCGCAGAGATCCACCGGCTTCTGCCTTCCTCACTGGGAGGAAAGGCCGGGCCACACACCCAGCCTAGTTTTGCCTTTGAGTCAGATGTGTCCTCTGCTGCCCAGGACGACCTTGAACTCAGTGGGTATCTGGGACATGTCCTGGAACTTGCACTCCTCCAGCCTCTCCCCTCCAGAGGGCTGGGATTTCAGGTGTGAGCCATCACTCCGGATTGTGTCTGCTGCTGGGGACCGAACTGAGGGCTTCTTATGTGATGGGCAAGCAGTCTGCTGACTGAGTTATCTCTCCAGTCCATGGAGTGTGGGGTTGGTTTGGTTTGAGTTCAGGAGAGAAACCCTTGGGTGCAAGGGCTGCAGGACAGGAAGGGTGTGGGAAGACTTTAGGATCTGGCAGGCCCTACCAGCTCCTTAAAACTAGGAATCGTTGAGGAACCAAGAGCTGGCTCTGGATTTGAAAGGCAGAGGCAGGAAGGAGCAAGCAGGATGGGAGACAGGCCCCGGGAGCTGTAGGGCAGGTAGCTGTAGGGAGCTCTGCATGTGGACACAGCAGCAGGTCCTGGCAGGAGCCCTGTGGAGAACCTGGGCCGGTATGCCAGGCTCCAGTACTCTACATCCTACCTTGGTGACCTTAGGTAGCTTTTGTGAACCTTGTCTTCCTCCATTCCTCCAGGGAATCATCCATTGCCCTGCTTAACCTTAATTGTCACCTTGACACAGCCTAGAGTCATCTGAAGAGAAGAGGCTTGACTGAGGCACTGCACGCATGAGGTGGTCCATGGGCACGCCTGTGAGGTGACATCTTGATTATTAATTGGTGTAGGAGGGCCCAGTCCACTGTGGGTGGCACCATTCCCTGGCAGGTGTTCCTAAGCATGGGCAAGTGAGCGAGCTGTAGAGCATCCTCCTCTATGACTTCTGCCGAGCTGCTTGACTTCCGCCCTGACTTCCCTCAGGGGTGGACAGTGACCTGGAAGAACTACACCAGGGTTGTCTACAAAGCCCAGCACTGTGTTTTGATTGTGCGTGGAGGACATGATAGGAACGAGAAAGAGATTTAATGGTTCAGTTAGAATGAAATCCATACACACACACACCACACACCATACACACACACACACACACACACAAACCAAATAAGGCTCTCTAGCCTCCTTTCTGTTGCTGTGATAAAACACTTGCCAAAAGGAACTTGAGGAGGAAAGGGTTCATTTGGCTTAATACTTCTAGGTCATGGTCCATCACCGAAGGAAGTCAGGGCAGGAACCATGGAGGAACGCTGCTTCCTGACTGGTTCATCTGCTCATCCTTTTGGGATGGGGGCAGGGAAGGTTTCTAGACAGGGTTTCTCTGTGGCTTTGGAGCCTGTCCTGGCACTCACTCTGTAGACCAGGCTGGTCTCAAACTCACAGAGATCTGCCTATTGAATGCTGGGATTAAAGCCGCATGCCACCACTGCCCGGCTTCACCTGCTCATCCTTAGCGTTCTCATAAATCCAGTACCACCTGCCTGAGGAATGTTGTCCAAAGTCGGCTTTCTTCTCAGATAACTAGGCTGTGTCAATTTGTCGTGAAAGCTAAGCAGCACAGAAGGCTGATGGAGAGGCAGTGCCATACGGGAAGGAGGCCTACGAGCAGCAGTTCCTCATGGCCTCCTCAGACTCAGGACCTCTCCCCCAGTCAGGACACGTCAGAGCCACTAGAGGGCGCCTGTTGTCCCTCACTTCAGGGAGGGCTCTTGACCAGGAGGCACAATCTGTCTCTGGTGGAGCCCCTTCTCAGGCCCTGAGCTTTTGATCTCCACTCTTAGACAACCAGCAAAGTGTAACTGACTGGAGAGCTTGAGCCACTCCGTCCCCTGCCTGTCACCTCCCCTAAGGCCCCAATTCCTTTATCCCAGAGGTCAGAGAAAGGAAAAGATGTGTTCTGCCAGATGGGGCTACACCACAAGGAAGGTGACCTTTTTAGGGATCGCTGGGATTGCTGAAACTGTCAGGGCCTAGCACTCAGCACAGTTGTGGAGAGGGAAGCAGGCAGGTTCTTATACACCCGGGCATGTGTGTAGCCAGAGAAACAGTCACACAGAGGATGTATATGCCCAGGAAAACAGTTAAAGAATGCCTATGACCAGAGAAGCAATCACATCCAGAGAGTACATATATCCAGGGAAACAGCCACACACAGCGCAGCACTCACACAGTCATATATATAGTTACACACACAGAATATGTATGTATGTATGTATGTATGTATATCCAAGGAAACAGTTATACACAGAGTACATATACCCAGAGGAAGAGTCACATGGAGAACACACATATACCCAGGGATATGTCAGAGTGCATGCACTGACCCAGGGAAGCAATCACACACACAGAGAGGACTACATCCATATACACAGGAAACACAGGCTTGCTTTTCCCACCAGAGAGGAAAGGAGTCTCACTTATGGTTTAAAGCCTTAAGTGTAGGGAAGTGTGTAACCATCCAGCTCTCCATCCAAACACAGGAGATGACAGATCTCCAGAATGGGAAGGAAGAAAGGGAAAGTGTCCAGTTCTGGGATGCACTGCTCTTTTCTTGAAAAATAAGCATTTGAATGTGTTTTGTCCAAACAGCCTCCAGACAAGCACAAAAGGAGCTCTTTCTCGGGCAGTAGGGTCCCTCTGCAGCCCATGCCTTCCCCATCTTTATATACCACCACTAGCTAAAGCAGTTTTCCTGTCTGGGACAAGTATAAGGAAACTGAGGCAAAGAAGCAGACAGACTTGATCTGGACAGGCTGGTACTGCTTTATTGGAACAGCGAGGGGACCCAGTCTTTCCTCTGGATGAAGGCTGAGTGCACTTAGAGAGGCTGGGGATATGTGTGCAAACATGCACACATATGTACATAGCTGTAGGAAGCTACAGGCATTTTGTCATTTGACCGGAAGCAAGTTGGGTTGTTTTTGATACCTAGGCATATTGCTCTGCAAGTGGGGCCAAGCAATTCTCGATGGCTAGGGGCTATTGCCCCATAGGGCTTGACTCAGTCTTGTGCCAGTGGAAGCCTAAGGCAAGTTGCACCCCCTGGAGCTGGGGTCACAGGTGCAAGAACAGTATGCACTCTTAACTACCGAGCCATCTCTCCAGCCCCCAGACTTTTGTTTCTTAAGCACCACACTTTTATTGAGCAAGAGAGAGTGTGAAGAGGATAGCGAGTCCAAGGCAGGTACACAGATGCATGGACGAAAGCCACCCATCCTACACACAAAATTCCCAGGGTAGAAGCCGGCTCGTATTATTTCATTCAAGCCTGAAGCCAAGCAGGAGGAAAGCCCAGGATGCTCATATCCCCCTCCCCAGTGATGGATGCCAGATCAGTCATTTGCAGAGGGCTACCCCCCTGCCCCCAGAGCTGCTGGCTATGGGGTCCACCTGCCTATCCAGAGGGCAGTGGGGAGGAGTCTGCCCAGCATGGCTATGGGTCTCCACTGCAGACAGCCGGGTTTTCCAAAAGAAAATTTCCTCTCCTCCGGCAGTCACAGGATGGAGGAATGAAAGCAGCTCTTTCCAGTCTGGTAAATGATGTGTGATTTATGAGTACATCGGCCCTCGGTGCATAAGTCACATTGCACAAAGGGGCCGGGTAAATATTTAAAGATTAGAGCCAGCTCGGGGGAGACACAAAAGGCTAGGACAAAGAGAGTCTCTCTGAATTCACTCTTCCTAAGCTGGGCTGGCCTGGGCAGTGTTGATGCACTCCCTGAAGTCCCAGCCTTTGTCCCCTGAAGGGCCCTTGGCTGCTGTACAACTCAAAGTCTCAACACTGCTAAAGAGAGTTAAACAATTGCAGCCTCTCCAGCCCCATCTGGAGACAATCAACTGAGTCACTCCAGGGCCTTTGCTGTGCCCT